ACTAAAAGTAGGATGATAAAATTGTGTAAAGCAATGGCACAGTGATAAAACTGTAAAGTAACTCATCTTAAAATGTTGGCTAATCTTCATTTATATATCTTTCTAAATGGTCCATTGAAAGATGTATTAACTGCACTTTCTCTTTCATTAAATGCTGCTTTCAAATTCATTGTAGTCTGGGTTATAAAGTATTCTTTTGAAAAAATGAGAATCAAATATATCCAATTCTTGAAAATTTATATTAATGAATATACCTAAAACATACAGCTCGAATAAATAAATAGAAAATTTTTAAATAATTACTTGAAGAAATATAATTCAACCATGAAACTCAAACAATTATAATGAAATTCTAAAAAGAAAAAAAAATAATCTCAAACAATGAAATTATTTTTAAAAAATATGAAGAAAAATACTTGAAAGAATGAATAACGCATAGTGAAAGGAAAAGTGAATTAGGTTACCATAAATTAAGAATTTTGCCAAGTGAATTATTCTAAGTGCAAACTAAAAAAAAATTGGAATAAATTTTTTAATTCCTCTGCAAGTTTCACACCAAATTTTACAAAACATTTCAGAAAAACTTTCATTTTATGTCAGAATATGTATGTTAGAACAACATCATATATAAATTTAATATTAATAATCAGTCACGCTATCAAGCCATGAAAAACGCAAGATGAATTTAATCAACTGGCTAGTAGAACATAAGGTATTTTTTGAATGGCTATACAATTAAAGAAATACAAATAACAAACCTAAAAATTACTAAAAAACTTATTTTGATCCATAGGTAAACTAAATCAAGTTTTGCTCAGTTTTTCCCAAATTTACTACTTTTTTATGAATAGACATTTTGCATGTGTAGTTATTTTGAGACAGCACTTCAAATTTCCACTTATTTTTCTTTCTTTATTACACAGTTTTTCTTTTCATATTTTTCGATTAGTAAAATTAATGATATTTTATGCAATGTATTGGCTAATCCAGCCACAGGTTGCAAGTGCACATATTGCATCATCAGTACAGATAGCAGTGAAATTAACGAATTGGAGGGCCACAAACTTATTTTTACACCTAATACATGCTTCAAGCTGTATTATAAGTGAATTTAATGATCCTTATTAAGTTTTACAACCAAACCAAAATATACTGCTGATTATAAAAAGAGCACTACTGTCATGACAACAGATATCAAAGCCCTATTTATTTACAGATAATTTATGACACAAATACGGCAAAGAAGTTCTCTCTATAGACATCATATGTGGATGGCAATAGTTGTCACTAAACAACCCAGAATAGAATCTCTGAATGGGTGTTTAACTGCTTAATGACCGAATTTATATTAAAAATTATGCCGAAAATCCCTGATTTTTTATACTATTTTTATAATCTACAGATATCACTAGATGTAGCTTTGTAAGGAGGAAAAAACTTTTTGAGAAAAATACAAGATATTTCTTATGGTTCATGGCATTACCCGAGTTAACTCGGGCTTCAATGAAGCAGCCAAAAGTAATACAGAACTGTAGTCTAGGTAATTAGAGCTAAAGTAAAAATAAAGTAACTACATTTTATGATCTATAAATGTCATTGACAGTATGGTACAGTCTGAAACATTGTGTAACACATAGTGGACATCACAGTCGGGACAATAATACCATCATTACCACTCGAGGGTAAACACTTCAAGTGGGTAATCACAAAGGCTGCTTGGACCCCTCCCACAGCAACATGTGCATGGCAGAGCGTTGATTGCCACGTGATATTATGGGCGATGGCATTAAATATCCATAAAATTACCAGTGCTCGAGTTAACTCGTTCATAGGCAAATTGAAACGGCATTTATTCCCGAGACATCTCGGGCATGGTCATTAAGAGGTCAAACAGGGCCATCTTAATGTATGGACACTGGGCACTTGTTCAGGAACTCTACATGCATAGAGGCTCTGTGCTTACACATCTGCATTTCATTTCTGTGTGCAACAGTCACTCACAGACTCACATGTCTTGGAGAATGACTGCAGTTTCAAATGACTAATGAAAGTAAAGGTAGCAAAGGAATAATATCTAACAAAAAATTCCCTTTGCTGCAGATGATGCTGAATGATAACTGATTTAATTGCTGCATATCACAGCTTTCTTAAGCTAAGATTTGTAATATGGCTGTATTGTGACTTGATCCATTAAATATTCCTTCACAGTGATTAGTCTAAACCACCAACTCCTTACTCACATTACTGTGACCGCATTTTGTCCAAAACAAGCATCAGTTTCTCAGAAGGATAATCAACAGTTCCAGTATTCTATAATTCTCCTAATCAAAGCCGGAATCTGCTGGCTTGGCTGCAATCCGTGAAAAAGAATGATAAGGAAATGCAATTCACATACTTAACAGCAGTTTTCTTTTCTTCTCTTATACTGTTTCTGGAAGGCATATTTGTGCACACATTCTAATTTTAAGTTTAAATTTGAATTTTGTTGAATTTGTTAAATTTTTTAAATTCTAGGAATTTTTATTTTGTTAGTCAGCATTGAAATTCTCACTAGTTCAAAATGAAATTAGTAGTAAGACATACAGTAATTTCCGGAAGAAAGGCCACATCAGCATAAACGCTGCACTCGCGAAAAATGGCGGGAAAAAAATTTAAATTACACAGAAATGCAGCAATAGATTAAATTGCACGTGACATTGTCATGGGCCATATAGATGCAAAATCTCAACCTAAGTCCTGATATATGACATATCAGTAAAGAAAAATGCATGAAACGAAACCATAACTCAAAAATAAATTAAAGGTAAGAAATGTTGAAAATAAATTTACGTTCACATATATACTTATATTTACCCACTAAAGAAGTCCATATTTGTAATACTCAGACTATATTATAAAAAATGTTGCAACAACAAAATATTAAATTTGGATGACAAAAGGAAATTTTAAATTTTACTTACAAAAGGAATTACAGCAAACTATACATCATATGAAGCCATCAAAATCTGATTTTTCACTATCTGAATTAAAAAGATTTAGTAAATCCTAATCTAAGTCCAAGTCTTCCAGATTGTCACATTCATCCTCTTGGTTTACAGTCTCTTTATGTAAGGATATAATTTCAGCTTCTTTGAACCTTGCTATTATTGACGATGTTTTACCGATTTCCACGCACTTCCTACCCACTTTGCAACTTCTTCATAAGATGCTCTATGCATTTTACCACTTTTGATATACGTATGCAATCCTTCACTGATCCAACACTCCCACTGCTTTGGGACTTCAGATTTGAAGGATTTATTACCTGACAAATCTAATGGTTGTAAGACTTTTGCCAAACCACCAGGAATTATTGCTACAGTCGTAGACAATTTTTGACATCTGGTTTTAATGACTCAAGTAAATGAGCACGCTAGGAATCCATTACCAATAACCCTTTTGGTTGGAGAAAAGATCCCTTACGACACTGCCAAACTTTTTGTAGCCACTCATGCATGGTTGTTTCACACATCCAGCTGTTCTCGTTTGCACAAATAATTACGTCATTAGGAAAATCTCCCTTTGGAATAGTCTTTCGTTTAAAAATGATCATCGGCTTTAGCTTGTCACCGTTTGTGGCACAAGCTAACACACATTAAATGACATTCTTTCATGCCCCGTTGTAAGCACAGATGCAGTTTTTGCACCAGTTTCATCAACAGTTCTGTTTGCAGGAGAGTAAAAAGCTAACGGCGTTTCATCCATATTTATTATCTGTGACCGAAAAAGGTTTTTTTTTTTGTCAATAACATCTCTCACATATTTTAGAAAAGATGCCTTTTTATCCTGCCAGTCCATTGGTAATTGTTGCCCAACTGTTGTTCTAGTATGCACAGAAATATTTTTTCTTTTCATAAATCTGCTACACCAGCAAGGCCCTCCTTTGAAATCATTTATTTTCATTTGTTTTGCTATAAATTTTGCTTGTAAGTGAATTTTTATAGTCGAAATTGCCATGCCCCTTCCTCGTTGCTCCTTTATCCAGTTTGCAAGGTCATCCTCTAGATTCGGCCACCTTACAGTACCACTTCTTTTGGCTCATTTCTGTTGTGGCATATTTTTAAGAAGTTCTTTTTCAGTTCTCCAATGTCGAATACATCTCTCGTCCACTTCAAACTCTTGAGCTGCTGCTCTATTTCCAATTTGTTCAGCACGTGAAATTAAGCTTAAAACCAGCAGTATAGCTTCTGTGCTGTTTCGGTGACATTTTCAAAAATTTTCTGCTCCCTTCTTACATAAAAACTATCACAACAAGTGCTTGTACCCAAACTGATGGGATCTGTATCTGACAGAATACCAAGAAAAATCGATTCATGCTGAAGGGGAAATACGTCAGAGTTTGTTATTGCTAGGCAGGTGGAGTCGTGTCCGCTTTTGAAAAAAATTGCAGAAAAGGCAAGGGTGGGGAGAGGATGGTTCCTGGAAGATTCATCGAATGGCAGAGGAGAGATTAAAACTGATGAGAATGTTGATTTAAAAGGGGGAAGAATGTTATTGTTCTGAGATCCCATTTAGGTTGAATAAGACATGTAGGTCCATTCAAGGGAAAGAATGTAAACAAAATAATGTTTGCAAAAAGCAACCGAGTCTTTTTTGTGGGAACACTACAAGTCTTTGTACAATGACAAGGCCATCCAAACTATGTACAATGACCATCATAGAAAATATTTTATTTTTAGTGCACCTAAACGCTGCATGGGTAGAAACGCCGCACCTGCTGAAAATTTTAATTTTAAACACGTAAACGCCATGGCGTTTCTTCTGGAAATTACGGTATATTTCTTTGGAATACCTTAGTTTTCTTTCCAAACTCATTTTTAAATAAGTCTTTTGAGGAAAATAAATATAAATACTTATATATGCATAACTACAACAAAAGAAAAACAGACTGATAAAAACACAATATTCAATCTTGAATTATACATATAAACACATACAAATAAATACAAAGTATAACTTGCCTGTGAATATGCTCCTTCAGGTGCCAGATAATCAATACAAACATTGCAATATGCACTGTAAGGAAAGATACATTTATTTGCAAACAAATTAGGAAATATCAAGTAAAAAAAATCGCTTATACTTTTATTTAAAATGAAAAAGTGATCAGCAAGTTTATAAAGTTCAGTAAAAAATATTGTTTCGTTCTGTTTCCAGTTTTCCAGGCTTATGTCTAGGCTGTTTTATTACATTGTGTAAAGATCCTTCCTTTGCAACAGATTAAACACTCTTAACCACCATACTGCTGTCTCACAAGTTGCAGTATGGTGAAGTCTGTGAGACTAACATTGATTAATTCCTTCTAAACAAGAAACATTTCTGTAAAGAAGATGTGAAAATCTTCATTGAAGGAAATCTGATTTTCTTCAAAGAAAAGTTTTGTAAACATACAAAACATTTCCTTATATGCAAAAGACTGCAGTGCAAACTATATACATAGTTATACTATATACATAGTACATACTAGCAAAGCAGTGATAGATTTGTTCTCAGTTCTTTAGAAAGCAATGTCCCCCAGATTATGAGGTCTGAAATATACGAGCCCTCTAATTTATTTCCAATAAACTACATAGCATGACTTTAGAGATACAGTCAAAAGTCTTTAATCCAGACATCCATAATCCGGAATGATCTATAATCCGGACCTCAAAGCTACAAACTTTCTGCCCATGCGTTAACGCATGTGCATAACATGTTTACGCATAGTGTTTAATGTATAACGGACGGTATAAGCTAAGCTAAAATTATCTAATTAACTATTTCAGTTAATGTTGCAGATTGCATTGTTCCTTTAATCTTCTAATTGGATCCAGCTTATTATTTTTTGCAGACTGTTAGAGCAATTTTATAAAAGTAAGCTTGAACTTTCGATTATGTCAAAAAGAATTTCCGATTCTGGAGCTACCAAAGGATCTACAAAGAAAAAGCATGTTTCGATGTCCATCACACAAAAAGTGGAATTGCTGCAAAAAATGAATAATGGCAAATCCTTTGTTTCTCTAACCATTCTGAAATATGTTTATCAATTTCACGCTGCTTTGCAGGGGGGAGGTCAACGCGGCGCACAATGAACTGGAGGTTGATCTGTCAGCACTATCCTTAACTTCAGGGCAGATGTTTTTATTTTATTTGGCTTATAATTCCTTACTAAATGTAGTATTTCATCTTGATGTACTCCATCTTTGATATGATTTAAATCAAATTCCTCGTCATTACAAATATCATGAACACACATCAAATAGTTTTCTGGTTGCAATTTTCTAATTTCGACTATGTGTAATGTATGCTTTACGCATGCGCGCGTTGAAAGAAATGTTTAATAAAGTAAACAAATAAATATTAAGCTTTTTTTTTGTGTGTGTAAATTTTGAAACCCTTTAGATCACAATTGTTCTTTATGTCATAAATTACGGTTTCATATTTTTAATTTTATAATTTCTGCATGCCATATTACCAGATTAAAACCATATTTAAACTGATGATCTATAATCCGAAAAACCGATAATCCGGAATCGCCGAAGTCCCGACGATTCTGGATTAAAGACTTGTGACTATATTTCTGTCAGAGTTTGATGCTTACATCACTGCAAAAGGAGTTTTATACTAACCCTAGCTTTAATCCACTGTTTCTAAACAGATGTGAATCTAGATTATAAAAAAAGCTTAGTGAAATTAGAAGCTTAGTGAAAAATAGTTTTGAAAAGTTATCAAGAATCTGAAAGTGAATAAATGACAATGGTCTTTACAAAAAATGGATAAGAAATGGAAAATGATGAAATGATCATTAAATGATGAAAGAGATAGAATAATATTAAAAAGAAGAAAGAATCATATATGAAATGCTCTATGAAGTTACCTAAAATGAAATCATTAAATAATTCACATCAGATTAATTATCTGGCAAAAATAAGGAGTTTTAGGTGTAATTCAAACAACAGGTTAAAGTTTTATGTTATATGTGTTTTGAAAGTTGAAATAAAAATGCTATTGAAAAAGTTAACACTTCATTATCTTTTGCCCATATAGAAGATGGTGCGTAATGCATGTGATTAGCACTTCCTAAATAATGAGAAAATTTCCTTCTTATCAGAAAAATGTCAATTTTTCAATGAATCATTCTGTAATTTCACTGCGTCCCTATGGTTTTCAGAATGAAATGAGGTTTAAAGCAGCATTTTGCAACATTTGAATCTAGAATTTTCAGTACTTACGTATTATCGCAACCAGGTTGGCGCGATTTGTAAGTTTGAGTAAAAAAGTACGAATAGAAAGAAAATGTACATTTATTAATTATAGATAATTTTTAATACAGTTTTTTATATTATTTTGTTTTAAAACATAAAATAGCAATTAAACCCTTCCGGTTTCGAATTTGAATAAGTTGCAGAATTATTTTTTTGGCGGAAATCTTTTGGCTATTGCTTTTAGCACTGATTGAAAACCATCTTCGCCATTAACAGCTTGAGCTTGGCGCCATATAAATTCGATAAGGTATGAGTCAAGATGATGACGGGCGGTATACTTCCATATCCCTGCAACAATTCAACAGCATCTTTTTCACTCGCAGGCAGATCCCAAATACCCATAGTTAAAGTATTTCAGCGCATTCAATCTAACCAGTAAGAAAAATAATTTCTTTACGAAAAACTACGTATAACACGTAGGGTTGCCGTAAGTAGGGTCGCCAAATTTGGCGATTTATGCGAATTTTGGCCTGGTTGCGTTAATACATAAGTACCGAATTTTCAAATTATGATTTAAGAAAACCTTTTAAAAATCAGTAGGCAAATAAATAAATACTGCTTAACAATGGTCACTTGCCCAAATTATCTATAAAGATTAAAATTTCATTTAAAATTCAAAAATATAGGTCAAAGCAAATGCTGGGGTAAGATAAAAAAAAAAAAAAAAGACTTAAGTCGAATTCTCACTATAAAAGATCTCTCCTCTCAAAGTAAAATATCTATGTCACTAAAATGTATATCGACACATAAAACGATTACAATTCAAAAATATTAACAAATCAATCTGGGCATAGTTACAATAGGCAATTTATGATTTATACTATGTCTAATGCAATGAGAAACATAAAAACTAGAAATTATGTGATGGATCACATTCATTCTGATTAGGTTTTTTTCTTATTTGATTATGGCAAAGCTCTCGAGGGCTATCTGCCTAAGGGAAGAGATGTCTTTGTGGAGAACTTTCTAAGGAAAACTGGCTTGTATACATGTTACATATAGAGAAAACCATAAAAATGCACATGCAGCCAGCCTGTTCGTGGGATTCAAACCTCGAACAGAACTACCAGTTTCAGTCACTTTACTACTCGGCCACTGGTGGGCCATTCTGATTAAACAACTTAAAATGCATCAACTTTCAAAAGTGTAAGTTTCATGCTGGTATCATGACATTATTTAGAAGAAATCACAAGCCTGTAGAGACATTAGGTTATTCTGAAGCAGGAGATATGAAAAAAGAGCAATGCCCTCGCCAGGAATCAAACCACGGACTTCTCAAATACGTGCCGAGCATGCGGACCATTACACCATGAAGGCACGCTAAGAAGGCGGGAAAAGTACCTTATATACTTCCCGTTTTAAAGGGTGACTGGGGATTAGGGAACCCAATCACCAAATCCTGCTGGTGGAGAACCACCTTTTTTAGTCCAGGAGCCACTGCAGAGACATTAGGTTATTCCGAAGCAGGAGGTATGAAAAATGAGCAATGCCCTTACTGAGAATCGAACCACAGGCCTCTCGAATATGCGCCCAGTGTGCAGACCACTACACCACAAAGGCACACTAAGAAGGCGGGAGAAATACCTTATAAGCATTAATAAGTTTTTAGCAAAAGGGGCAAAAATTACTAGCTTTTACTCTGATAAAGTTTTACCTTGTATATTTAAAAGAATTTCGAGATGTTTCTAAGGGGCACCATGTTCCACCAAGACTATGTTCCATACATCTAATTAATTATACTACTATCTAATATCTAATAACTCTAACTATAAAATGGCTTAGATAGAAGTAACAATTATCTTATTCTCCAATTATGGTTTTTATCTTAATTTTCCAATCATTTCTGGTGGAAAAATCTCAGAAAATAAATTATCTAGCCAAACAGCTTTCAAAACACAATAAAAATGGAGGTCACGAAATACCCCAGCTAACTTTATACAACCTTGTAGCCTGTCCAAAGTAACTGCGTAAAATTTGAGATACTAGTATTACGTCAGACTATAAATAAAAAGATTTATTTGACAGACTAATGACTTATTTGAGACTATTGACTCATCACATTTTATGATTCAGTCTAGTACACTTCTCAGTAATCAAATGGATTATGCAAAAAGCAAAAGGTTTGAGTTCATGTTTTGCGATTTTTGGCTTTGGATAATGCTCTGAATCGCACTTTATGAGTTTCCTTACTTAACATTTAAACTGAATGATTTAAAATTTTTAAATAAATAATATCTATTGTTATAAAATGAAGAATCCGTATATGAGTTTACTACATAGTACAGAGATGGAGAGGCCCAGAACTACGAAGTTTAAAACATTTTTTCCGAGTGATAAAAGTATACACCTCGAGCGATTAATTCAAAATCCGACTAAGGATTCCTTTTTTTTTTGAAAAAATCATCATTATTAGTGCTGAAATGACCTATTTGCTGATTTTTCACACATAAATCTTCACTTCACGAACAAGCAAAAAATGTCAAAATTTTACTGTTTGCACCACTGGATATGAGAAAAATGAAATTTATACTAAATTTTTAACATCCAAGATTTTTGAAAATTTTCTGAAAATCACCCTTTTTTTTATCATTTCATTATTTTTAAATTCCAAGATCCTAATAAGTAACTCTAAATTTTTCAAAATTTAAATTTTTAAATAAAGTTTTGAAATTTTCACAGAGATTATAAATCAAATTATTCAACCAATTTTTTAAAACAAAAATGATAAAAAGTATGAATTAAGCAATTTTCTAAAAGGTTTTTCAGTATGTTGATCTATGACTTTAAGCAGAAGTGGAAGCTACTGTTCTTCCTTCAGCATATGTAATTTCTCTTGCAATTTTGCAATTTTCACAGGTTATTAAATAATCTTTTTGCCCTCTTTTAAAACAAGAATGATGTAAAATTTTCTTTTCCTTTATTTTGTAAACTACCTATTTATAAGGGCTAACCTACATCCTGGCATATGGACCTTGCCAGGACAAAGGCTAGCCATGGAAGTGGCTACTCATAACTAAATTTGATTTAAATGAAAAATAAGAAATTCAAATTTACAATGCAATTTTATAATATTAAATTTATACTTTTAATTTAAAAAATGTTAAAACATTATGGCATCACAAGAAACAGAAAGAAGATATTTTTATTTTATTATTAACCAATACAATACTTCCTAAACACATAAAAAAATTAAACACACAAATTTATATTTCATGCTCTTAAAATATTGTAGTATGATTTATATAAGAAGACAACAGTGATAATAGTTTCATTACATTATTAGGTAATAAAATATTTCTTAGATTGATAACAAAAAAATTACCGAACACAAAGGCTATTACTACAGTAGACTAATTTGCCTCCAAGTCCACACAAAATGCAATAATCCTAATGGAAGGGATAAAAAAGCAAGTTTTCAGAAAATTGAAGAAACATAATTGTATTTACTTTTAATACCACATTTAAGAAACATTATAAAAAAGTAATATTTGACAGGATTATTTATGATTTATACTACACTGGTGTGCAAAAATTAAGGACAAGACGGTTTTTTCAATATAACTTTGTACAAAAGCTTTCCAAATCAACACATTTAATACCGTAAGATCCCCAATACGTAAGGACATGAGTAATGTAAGCAACACTTACTAAAAGAGAAATCAGAGGGATAAAAAGAAGCTTTATTGAAAAAGTAGCATGAAGCGCAATGCGACTGAAGGCCGAAACATCCCTGTGATGGGAGTACAGCAAGAAACATCCTGTCTTTAATAGGGGATATGATCTCCCCTGACTGCTAGGCAGGTTTCACAGCGTCTGCCCATGCTGAGAATGAGGGTGTCAATGAGTTGTTGAGGCATTGCTGCCCATTCGTCTTGCGCCAATCAAAGCTCCAGAATCGTTACTGGTGGTAAGGTACGAGCTGCCAAGCATCTGCCTAGAAATTAATTTTCAATATAACTTTGTACAAAAGCTTTCCAAATCAACACATTTAATACCATAAGATCCCCAATACATAAGGACATGAGTAATGTAAGCAACACTTACTAAAAGAGAAATCGGAGGGATAAAAAGAAGCTTTATTGAAAAAGTAGCATGGAGCGCAATGCGACTGAAGGCCGAAACATCCCTGTGATGGGTGCCCAGCAAGAAACATCCGGTCTTTAATAGGGGATATGATCTCTCCTGACTGCTAGGCAGGTTTTACAGCGTCTGCCCATGCTGAGAATGAGGGTGTCAATGAGTTGTTGAGGCATTGCTGCCCATTCATCTTGCACGGCCAATCGAAGCTCCGGAATCGTTACTGGTGGTAAGGTAAGAGCTGCCAAGCGTCTACCTAGAAAATCTCATACATGCTCGATGGGATTGAGATCCGGAGATCGTGCCGGCCAATCCATACGTTCAATATCTTCACTCTCTAAGAGCTGTTCGGCAGCTACTGTGCGATGACATGGTGCATTGTCGTCCATGAAGGAACTGCGGACCCATAGCGCCTCTAAAATGACGCACATATGGAAGAAGAATCTCGTTACAATAACGGGTCCCGTTGACTGAACCTGCGTTGAAGATGTGAAGGTCTGTACGACTACCAAGCATGATGCCTCCCCAAACGAGAACACCGCCACCTCCATACCTGTCCCTTTCAATGATGTTCGAGGGATGACTGCGGCTTCCCCTCTCTCTCCAGATGAGTATGCGATGAGAATCGCTACTCAGACTGAATCTGCTCTCATCTGTAGAGTACTCGTCCCCATTCATTGTCTCTCCAATTCCGGTGTTCCCGGCACCACAGAGAATGCCTTCTCCGATAGGCAGGCATTAGAGGTACACACCGTACAGGGCGTCGTGCAAACAGACCACCACCGTGCAGTCTTCTAGCCACGGTAAAACGCGATATCTGTCGTCCAGTCGCCTGTTTCGTGTGTCTAGCGATTTCTCCCGCTGTCTGAAGCCTGTTTCTTCTGGCCTGTAAGGCAATATACTGGTCATCTGCGGGTGTGGTTCCTCGTGGACGACCACTACTAAACCCCCGAATAGCTGTTCCTGTAGTTTGAAATTGTCTCCAAAGTCGTGAAACGATGCTGTGAGCAATTCCAAACTCTGCAGCCACACTTGTCACACTGCGGCCTTCCTCCAACTTCCCAATGATTCAACCTCGGGTAAAAGCATCCAGATGTCGTCTAACAGATTGATTATTCACCATTTCTCGCTGAGGCAGCAACTCGGTGTAATTTTAACTGCTATACGGCGTGAAATCTCTTTGCCAGAAATACTGATCTTACACCGACAACATGCTTTATACTACTCAGACACTCCCCCATTACGTCTACCTGCATATCTGCGCATGTGCTACCGTACATCACCTTACTTAATCTCCTGGTTGGTCTTTCTGTCCGCTCTGCCTCTTCGTTCAGCTGATATGCTAATTTTTCGACTTCATCCTTAATTTTTGCACACCAGTGTATGTCTAATGCAATTTATGATCTATACTATGTCTAATGCAATGAGAAACATAAAAACTAGAAATTATCTGATGGATCACATTCATTCTGATTAGGTTTTTTTCTTATTTGATTATGGCAAAGCTCTCGAGGGCTATCTGCCTAAGGGAAGGGATGCCTTTGTGGAGAACTTTCTAAGGAAAACTGACTCGTATACACGTTACATATAGAGAAAACCATAAAAATGCACATGCAGCCAGCCTGTTTGTGGGATTCAAACCTCGAACAGAACTACCAGTTTCAGTCACTTTACCACTCGGCCACTGGTGGGCCATTCTGATTAGGCAACTTAAAATGCATCAGCTTTCAAAAGTGCAAGTTTCATGCTGGTATCATGACATCATTTAGAAGAAATCTACAAGCCTGTAGAGACATTAGGTTATTCTGAAGCAGGGAGATATGAAAACCATAAAAATGCTAATTGTCAGACTTTATACAACGACTACATTAAAAATTTCCATACACACATACTGCAGGATAGGAAATACTTTATTGCACACATTAAATATAGTTTGTAACACTAAGTTTAAATATCTTGAACATATTCAAATAAAAGCCCAATTGATTGCAAAGGAGATCATAATAAATATTCAATGGGTCCCCAAAAATCTTTATTTTCACAGCTGTTGGTCATAGACATGTACTTTGAATTACAAAAGAGTTTTAAATTATGCAAATACAGTCAAAAGTCGTTAATCCGGACTCGTCGGGACTTCGGCGATTCCGGATTATCGATTTTTACGGATTACAGATCATCAGTTTAAATCTGGTAAAATGGCATGCAGAAATTATAAAAGTAAAAATATGAAACCGTAATTTATGAAATAAAGAACAATTATGATGTAAAGGGTATCAAAATTTACAAAAAAAAGCTTAATATTTATTTGTTTACTTTATTAAACATTTCTTTCAATGTAAGTTGTATCAGTTGCTTCGTTTTTTTATGTGATAATACATTCTCTTTAATTCTATAAACAGACATAATTTCTTGTTCAGTTACAAAGTTCCGCTGTTCAAGTCCTATAATTGCTGTGTCAAGAATACCGACTAATTTGTCAATCGAAATTTTTTCGTTTTCAATAACCTATGTCACTTTCTTCGCTATCGGAAGCGAATTATAATGACGAGGCATTTGATTTAAATCATATCAAAGACGGAGTACATCGAGATGAAATACTACATTGAGTAAGCAATTATAAGCCAAATAAAATAAAAACATCTGCCCTTAAGATAAGGATAGTGCTGACAAATCAACTTCCAATTCATTGCACGCCGCCGCGGCGTTAAAGATAAACAAAGTTTAGATAAACAAACGTTTAAGTTTAGATAAACAAAGACTATGCCTTTATCCATTTTTTGTTTAATGGACTCCGAAAGATACTTTCGCTTTGTATATCCTTTACATATTAGTAAATATATATCGGAAATTCTATTTGACATAATCGAAAGTTCAAGCTTACTTTTATAAAATTGCTCTAACAGTCTGCAAAAATAATAATCCGGATCCAACTCGAAGATTAAGAAACAACGCAATCTGGAACATTAACTGAAATAGATAATTAGATAATTTTAGCTTAGCTTATCCCGTCCATTATACATTGAACGCACATTCGTAAACGTATTTTGCGCACGCGCACACGCGAATTTGCAGCGACGCATGCGCAGAAAGTTTGTAGCTTTGAGGTCCGGATTATAGATCATTCCGGATTATGGGTGTCCGAATTAACGACTTTTGACTGTATTCATATTTTGTCATTTCTAAATTTCAAAAATTAATCTTGAGAAAATTATAAAATCTATCTTTTCATACAATCTCCTAGGCCATACAGTTATAGTTATGAAAGGAATTCTTTCTAGAAAAAAAAATAAAAATCAGTTTCACTGCTATATGACAAAAATAGATGCATACACAGCCATGAAAATGTGCTGGCTGCATGCGTGTTTTTCATGGATGTTTCACACATGTGTAACACAAATAACGACCAATTTCTCTCAAAAGGTCCTACATAAAAGCATCCATCCCCTTAGGCGCATAGGCTTCGTTTGCTCTACCATATACAAATAACTTAATCTTATAAAAAGGTTTCAGTGTGTGTGTGTGTGTATTTGATTATGGCAAAGCACACTAGGGCTATCTGCCTAAGAGGAGGGATGCCTTCGTGGAGGACTTTCTAAGGGAAACTGGCTCGTATACACGTTACACATGGGGAAAACCACGAAAACACCCATGCAGCCAGCCCGTTCGCGGGATTCGAACCTCGGACCGAACCACCAGTGTTCAGCGACTTTACCGCTCAGCCGCTGGTGGGTAAAAAGGTTTCAGATGGTAACAGATTAAGTGATAAGAATTTTTAGGCACACTGTTCTGAAAAGTATTGATCAACACAATTTTTTTCTCAAAAAGGCACAGAATTTTACAGAATTTGTGCTCTAGAAAACAGTGGCACGTTTCAGTATTGGCACTTAGTAAACTCATAACATTACTTGCATAAATTGAAATTGAAAAATAATTTTCTATCACAATGAATATTTTGAAGTGATTATCAGATTATCATTCTAAAGTAATAAAATTGCATCTCTGCACCATTGCTTCTGAAATGACTCAAGAAGACATGGCTTCTACTAGGCTGTGTGCTTTAACATATAGAAAGCCAAAAGCAGGATGTTGCAGATAGCACAATGGCACTACAGGCATTGTTTTCAATATGATTTGTTTAACAATGATGTGGCAGTCTGCCAAGATCAGCACCTCTCCTTGTTGCATGATTTGTAGCTCATCAGTAATGGAAGGACACTCTTCTTGTGGTTGCTGTTTTCCAAGCTCATTTCGACACACTGAAAATGTCACTGTCATATGGTAACCGTCTCATATGATTGAATAGTTACCTC